TACTTCGGATCAGAATTTCAGCTGCAGAACAAGTGCAAAGAACATGTTAAACGTCTTCTGTTAAGCAATTGCTCTCTAAAATAATACATTTTTCCAGGGTATGTGGCAGGAACACTATGCTGACAGTTTTAACTGGTTGCCTCTTTTCCTGCATGTTCTGTACAGAATCACAGAATGTTAGAGATTGGAAGGGACCTCGAAAGATCATCTAGTCCAATCCCCCTGCCGGAGCAGGAACACCTAGATCAGATCACACAGGAACGCATCCAGGCGAGCTTTGGATGTCTCGAGAGAAGGAGACTCCACAACCTCTCTGGGAAGCCTGTTCCAGTGCTCTGTCACCCTCACCGTGAAGAAGTTTTTTCTCATATTCAAGTGGAACCTCCTATGTTCCACCTTGAACCCATTGCCCCTTGTCCTGTCACTGGATGTCAGAGAGAAGATCCTGGCTCCATCCTCCTGACACTCACCCTTTACATATTTATAAACATTGATTAGGTCACTCCTCAGTCTCCTCTTTTCCAGGCTAAAGAGACCCAGCTCCCTCAGCCTTTCCTCATAAGGGAGATGCTCCATTCCCTTCATCATCTTCGTGATGATTACAAAAAGGACCAAGCTCCTCTACATTATGTGGGTTGTTGGATTAATGGGTGACTGGTGAATTCAGATTTATGGTAATTTGTTGCAGTGGTTAGTTACACTCACTGTTTTTCATGTACTTCATGCTGGAGGTCTTCTCTCCCTACAGGTGGCCAAAAGGGGGATGGTGAGTTTTTGCTGTGAGGGAGAGCCTTTGACAAGACTGTGTTTTGTGCCCTTTCCTTCCTCCAGAGTGTGGTGGGCTCTTAAAGGCTGAAGTACGAACGAAAGAGCTGTATTCCCATGCTCAGTTTGGGGACAACAACTACCCAAGTCAAGCCAACTGTGAATGGGTGATTGTAGCTGAAGATGGTTATGGAGTGGAGTTGATATTCCAGACATTTGAGATTGAGGAGGAGGCTGACTGTGGGTACGACTACCTGGAGGTTTATGATGGTTATGACAGCACTGCACCACGCCTGGGATGTTTCTGTGGCTCAGGGGTAAGCCATAGTGGTGGGGATTTCGTAGGCATAACAGGAGGTGGAAAGGAAGGGTACTCTCCGACCCCTTTTGGACAGGGGCAGCTCTCACACACTGGTGATGAGAATGCCTTGTGTGTCTGGATTTTCCTTCTTCTCCTGTTGTTCCTGGAGTTCACAGGCATTTTGTCTGATGCACTGCGTTCGTCTGAAAACCTTACTGACTGACTTGCCCTTCTTAGCCCAGGGCCATGAGCAGCGTCAAGGGACTGTCACACTGCTGTGCCCCAGCCTTCCCATGAAAGCATTGTGTAAATGTGGGATACAGCTTCCAAAGGCCAGTTTCATCCTCAGTCACTTCCTGCTTGAAGCCAAGTCACATTGGGGCCATGCTATGGCAAGGGCAAAGGGCGGAGAGATTTGCAGAGCTGCTTGTTGACCCCAGGGTCGTGTTCTGTCTCCTAAACTGTTCGCTGTGACCCCATTAAGAGGAGTGACACTGTTAGTGTGAGCAATAGCGTGTGGTATTTAAAACCAGAGGTTCTATGTTTAATTTCTCTAGGACTTCAGCAATGAAATGGAGAAGGTTCTTATTACATTTAAAGAGAGACATCCAGGGAGCAGGTGTGCCCGAGCAGTCCTTGCAAACTGGGGAGGTGGTCTGGAAAATAAAAAAAGGCATAGCAGCTTGGTGTGAAGAAGTTCAGGGCAGCAGGGTAGTAATCTACCTACCTGTACACTGACAAATGGAGAATGGTTGGTAAAGTATTGGTCTTGCAGAGATATGCAGGGAGGTTGTAGCAGGTCACAATGGTGGGGGAGGTAACCAGAGTTATCATGTAAGATACATGGCTAAGTTATTTTGCTGGTAATGAACCCTGGGAGAGTCTCAGCTGCCCAGCAGAGATTGTTGTTTGGATTGGTCATTTCCTGAAAAGATCAGGACAAATTAGAGAAAACTTAGAAGACTGGAACAAGAACATCCAGGGAGTCCTGTAGATGTGACCTACAAAAAGCTACTGGAAGAACTGGGATTGTAGAGTGGGGTGGCATCAGTCTTCAAACATAAAGGGCAAGGGAATGTGCAAGGGAAATCAAAGCAGGGCCAGAGATACTGAGCACTCAATGATTGTGTTTCCTGGCCAGTCTGTCTTCACTGTGAGCTTAAATTTTAGCATCATAGCGCAGACAATTATTTAGCCTGCAGTCTTGACCACTCTGTGCTGTCTTCTTCACTTCTCTGCAGCCTCTGGAAGAAATCTACTCCGCAGGGGATTCCATCATGATTCGATTCCATACAGACGACACCATCAACAAGAAAGGCTTTCACGCACGGTACATAAGTACCAAATTCCAGGATGCATTGCACATGAGAAAGTAGTTTGACTTTCCCTCACAGACATTCCCATCTGAAGGTTGAGACATTTAACTGTGATTTTTGTCTGGTTTTTTTAAGGCTTCTGTGCACCTGGCCAAAAGCAATGCACAGTATTTTCTGAAACTACAACTAAATCCAGTCTCAAAGGTTTGCCTCTGAAATTATTAGCATGACCCTTTCTTGTTAACATACCCAGGACCAAAAATTATCTTTGAGTCATACCTGCCAGGGCATAAACATTGTATTTTGCACAGCTTGCCATAGGGCTGAGTGAAGACTGAACTTGCATTGAGAAAAGCCTTTATCTCATGCTTATCCTGTTGCTAGGTGACATTTCCTAAGCATCCTGTACACATGAACTGCCTGAACACATTTTCTGGACCAGATGATGTGGACAGTCACCCAGTAGAATTTTCTCAAAAGGACCTTGCGAGCCACCCACTCTCCCCTACCAGCCCAAAATACTCTGTGCAATAAGTGAACAGCCAGATGGCTGGGACTCCATCACTCCTTCTGTCCTGTCTATTTATTGTCTTGGTTGTTGTGGGTTGAGAGCTAGGCAGGGACACAGGGACAGCCTCTTTAGGGCTGCTAGCTACTTGGATCACAGTGAACAAGAAGAGCGCAGCACCTGATTTGCAGTAATGGTCATGGTATATGTTGAATTGAAGTACTTTGATGCAATGGCCAACAGAAAAGTGGTGGCTGACAGGGAAATGCTATGGTGGGACACAAGGCATGACTGTGTGATGGTGGCACAGCTTAGCAACGGGAGTGCTAACAGTGTGCTCTGGTTACACCACCAGGCAAGGCAGTTCAGAGGGCTGTGGCAGCAGTCCAGGCCTTATCTTAAGTAAGGAATCTGTCCTCCTCACTTCTCCCATGTTTGCTTTCTCAGCCTTCTTTACATTGATTCCTTCCCTTAGTACCACTTCCCTGTGAGCCCTTCCTTTTCACAGCTGCGCTCCTCTCCCCAGGGCTCCCCACCACAACGTAGGAATGCTCTGCAGCATCAGCTGGCTGGAGTGTCTCCCCAGAGGAAACGCTGGGACAGAGATAGTCAGGGTATCCCTGAGGCAGAGGGACGCAGGCCATGATACAGGTCAGCTCTGGTGTGTTCTGTGAACCTGTTAAATGTGCAAGCTCCAGGCACAGGACTAGGAATGGGAGATCTGTGCTGGTTTCTGCTTCTTCGTTGTTCCTTGCTGACCCATGACCCATGACTCATGACAGGGGTGCAAGCAAGATGGTGACTTAAGCACTGGAGCTGTGAGGCTCAGACATGCTCTGTGTTACAGTTGTTCATGTACGTGGAAGCTACTGAGCCATGGGCTTGCAGAATTAACAGGTAGCTTGTCACTTCTTTGCAGAAAACTGGGGTAAACTGTGCTTTTGGGAGAACCACTGTAATTGAGCTGTTGATACAGGAAGAAAAAAGAAAAGGGGAAAAAAATAAGACTTTTTTCTGAATGATATTTCGTTAAGGCACTCCTGGGCAATTAGGAGCTAAAAGCTGAGGTATGTTAGCTTTAATAAAGTATTTATAATCCAAGGATTACTATGTTTACATAACCAATGTACTGTCAGGCTCCAGGGTGACACCTCCTCTCTGTGTATGACTGTGGAGAAGTGTGGGGCCAGCGCCAGTGTCGGGCACAAACGACATTCCTGGACATGAGGACATTTCCAGATGGATAATAAATAGATCTAGCCCTCTCCAGAAATCCTTGAACAGAGTATGGTCCAAGTATTGTGAATACTAGGAGAAGCAAATGCATGAAAATATTTTCTTGCTTAGAACAAGAAAAATAAAGTAATTTAAACATACACACACACAAGCTTCTATGTATATAAAATGTGCATGTAGAAGACCAGTTGTCAAAGCCTTAATAAATGTCGCATGAACAATACTGTACCACTGACTATAGCTTTATTACAGGCTGTATAAAACCATGTTATTTCTGTTTGTTTTTTTTTTTTTTAGCTCTGTTTTGTTCATCTTTCAAATTTTGTGGCCTCTTTACAGGCAAGACCTCCGGTCTCAAGCTGTTTGACCATGCGGGTGTGGGGAATTGTGCTCCGCTAGACAGGGTGCACATTTGTCCTCTCTTCCTTGCCCCAATTTGAGCAAAATCCCAGTGATTCAGGTCTGGAAATACAAGCATGACATTGATCCCTGTGAAACAGAAGGAAAGTTCCAGGTGGCAAGC